TAAAAAGGAGTTTTTTAATAGCTAAATATGAATCTTGAATCATCTCATCTTCTTAGATCTCTCATCACTCAATTTTGTTCCTTTTTCTCACTTCATTCTTCACATTATGTTTACAATTTTAACCTCATGGAAGAGCTCTAATAGTTTGTTAGTTATTTTAGGGGTATTGTGGTCTTCATACTTTACATTGTGTTTATCGTTTTGACATTATGGAAGAGCTCTAATGGTGTGTTAGCTATTTTAGAGGCATTGTGATATTTTACCCTAAACCCAAGTTCCTACATCCTAACATCCCTCTTCCCATCTGAAATTTCCATTTTACCCTCCAACTTCCCTTCTGCATTTTGATTTTGAATTAGTGGGGTCCAAAATGATTATTTACTTATTAAACCATTCTTCGCAAGAGATAGAATTGGTAATTTAACTTTTTACTTCTTTGTTCTTTTTCCAGTTCAACTTTCCTTATTTATATTTTAGAGAACATAGTTTCATGGCATAGGACCAAAATGTCGACACTTACCTATCAAAACGGAGAAATTGAAATTCTTAGCACATGGTGTCGACAATGACAGTACCCAATCCGTGTCGGCGTTTAGGGTTGTTTTGTAACTTTCTTATTGGTAAACCAACGCACGTGAATTCTTCTTTTTCTACTTTATGGACATTATGGTATGTAAAATTGAATTTTTTTTTTCTTTTTTTTTTTACAAATAGAAAGTGGTTAGTAACTATGTTAGTATCTGTTAATGAAGAAGCTCCAACTATTGAAGAGGATGCGGATCGCCTGCTGTCCAAAGGTAGTGTGACCACTTGGGTCACATGGGGTCTGCAAATTCAAATTCATTTATTGTGTCCTTGATTGCAACCTTTTTTCTTATAATTTTATTCCTCAATTTTTAAAAATTTTTCAATTAAATCCAAATTTTTATTTTTTATATTTAAATTCTTTTTAATAAATAAAAAAAATATAAAATTAATAAAAAAATTTTAAATTAAAGTGTAAAACTTATAAACTAGTTAAACTTAAACCAAATACATTATATAGATTTATTAAAATTAATTTATTATTTAAATCTATCATATATGAATTGTTTTAAATAAAAATATATAACTTAAAGATAAAAAATTTAAACTTTAAAACATATGGTATAAGACTATACAAATTAATTTTTTTAATTTTATATACACTTGCACACCTCCCAAGCAGAGTGAGTCAAGTTAGAGAAAAGGAGTAAATAAAGATGTTAAGTTTTGATTTTTTATTTATTTAAAAATATTAATTTTGTCAATTTTTAAATAAAATTTCAATTTTTAATTTTATCTTTTTAAGAATATTAACTTTTAATTTTATTTATTTAATGATATCAACTTTCAACGTTTTTTATTTAAAAATTAATTAAATAATAATATTAATATGACAAATAAATTTTTTAATTAAAATATTAAAAATTAATAT